CCAAAATTAAATAGAATTCTAACTAATAAAAGGGACTGTTTGGGGCTCCTGGCTGTGTCTACATCAGCAAAAAAATAATCCTAAATCGATGACACATCAGCATTGTAAACTAAATACTCACAAACCTGTTAATAATATATGGATTCGATTAGGGGTGGGTGTTTAACCCGGATCCGAAGATCCGATCTGAAACCGACCCAAAATTATCCGATCCGAATTGGTTCGGATTCTCTATTATACCCGATCGGGTGTAGTATTCTCTGAATTTCGGGTACCGGTTAATAACCGATCCAAACCGAGATCCAAAGACTTACCCGAAGTATCCGATTTTCAGAGTTCATCATCCGTAGTATCCGATTTTCAGAGTTCGTACTTCGTGATTCTTTCTTTCACTAGTTCCCTTATTCTCGGTGATTTGCAGTTTCCATAATCTCTGATTCCCCGATCTTCAAGCAAAAGAAATACAAAAATTCTGGAAACATAAATCAATAAATCTGGATTCAATTAATTTAGCCGCCACCTCTCTTCGTTCAGAGACTTCAAGAAATCAAATTGAGTCTCAGGTATGAAATTCACAGATACTCGATCTGGTTTTCTTTCTTCACGGTTGTCTATTGTTTGGTTGAATTGCTTAATGGGTATTCTCTGAATCAATTTTGTACCAACAATTTTCTCCGTTTAGTTTTTTTTTTGTTTGTAAAGAAAAAGCATTGTAAGTATTGTGATGATTATTTATTGTTATGAATCAAGGTCTCAAGAAGATGTTGGGCGCTGATTAAATCTAGTCTGAAACTCTGAGTATACAAGTGTTTGCCGATCGTATGTCTTAGCCTATTCAACTGGTTTTGTTAACTCATATCGTCCATTATTCATCATGTTTGGTTTGAGTTCGTTATTCATCAAGTTATCATGTCTAAAGTAATGCCAGAAGCTGGCTCTCTTCTATTTAATTTTCTTGTTCATTCTCTGGAATTTTGAAATTGTCATATGCTTTGATTACATTTGACATTTTACCAATGAATGACTCATATGGGAATCTCTGTCCAAATATAGTATTGCTTGTCAACAATGTTAACTATTCTTTTTGGTTATGCTTGAAAACAACTGTAATACTGCATAAACCTGCAAATTTGTCGAAGTCTGACTTGATCTTATTATATTTCAAAAATACCATACATTTGCAAGTCTTGATTATTGTTATTTCTCTCTCTCTCTCTTCGTGATCATTCTCTTGATTCTATAAGTGCTATAAAGATATGAACAAGTGTATTGTTGTATTGTGAGGCGAAACTGTTTATTATTTATTGAACATGAAACCATCGCCTTTTCTCATGTAATTGTTGAAGTTTCTTCTTCTTCTTGTCTCTGTTTTTAAGCTTTTGTATTTAGTTTGAATTATATTATTTAACTCGATTTGGATTGTTGTGTTTCTATGTGTTGTGATTCAAATACACTGATTGTTTCTATAGAATCATACCATTACAATCTCTGCTTTTTTTGTAGATGGGTTCTTCATCATTTCCAGATCCTGAAACTCAAGAAAGTCAGGAAACTGAAGAACCTGAAGAAGTGATTAATAATCAAGGGAAAAGAAAGAAAATTGGAGCTACTTCTAAGCCATCTAAGCCAAATAAGCAACCGACTACAAGGTCACCAGTGTGGAACAATTTTACCAGATTAGAGGATGATTGAGACCAATGCAAATGTGATCACTGCTTACGTGTTTTTGGCTGTGCAACTTCAAAAAGGACTTCAAACCTGAAGAAGCATCTTTCGACTTGTAAGAAGTATCTGGCGTATAAAGTTAGTAAAGCTTCAGATACAAGAGTTGTTACTAAGGATAGAAATATGAAAGATGCAAAGGTTTCGGTTGAGGTTTTCAAAGAAGCTACTGAAGGGATGCTAGTGTTAGGAGAGTTACCACTTGCATTTGTTGAATCTCTGGCTTTCAGATGGTTCTGCGATAAGGTTAATCTCTACACACCTCACTCAAGAAGAACTGCTACTAGAAATATTGTGAAGATGTATGAGCAAAAGAAAGCTGCTCTTAAGAAGTATATTGTAGCCAACAAGCAGCGAGTGTCACTTACTACTGACATATGGGTTGCGAAAGTTACAGGGAATAGTTATATGGTGGTAACTGTGCACTTCATTGATGCAAATTGGCAGTTGAGAAAGCTGATAATTGGGTTCAAGTACATCGTTGATCATAAAGGGATGACTATTTCGAGAGTTATTCTAGAGTGTTTGGCTGAATGGGGAATAGAGAAGATATTCTGCATCACAGTCGACAATGCCACTGCCAACACCTCTGCTCTCAAGAAGTTTTAGAGCGATTTCAAGTTGTATAACAATGAGGCATTAATTTTAGATGGAGAGTTTATGCACATCAGATGTTGTGCCCACATTATCAATTTGATTGTCAAGGAAGGTCTTCTTGAGTTAGGTGATCATGTCTCAGCCATTCAAAATGCAGTGCAGTATGTGAGGTCGTCTACAAATAGGTTAAACTCTTTCGATACTCGGGTTGAGACAGGAAATGTATCTAGAGGGAGTTTGCCTTTGGATATCAAAACACGGTGGAATTCGACCTATTTGATGTTGCTGCAAGCTATGAAGTTTAGGGCTGCGTTTGATAAAATGGAACTTGAAGACAAGCTCTACAATGACTATTTTATGGAAATGAAGAATAATGTAAGAAGGATTGGACCTCCTTTGTATAATGATTGGAGAGCTGTGGAGAGGTTAGTACAGTTTCTTATTATTTTCTACAACTCCACTTTGGTTGTCTCAGCATCTACTACGATTTGCTTTTATAAGTGTTATAGTGAGATAGTTACTATAGAGAGAAATATAATATATAAGAGTAGTAGTCTAGACAAAGTGTTAGCAGCAAAGGCTGATGATATGAGGGTAAAATTTGATAAGTATTGGGAAGGAATGAAGAACATCAATAGGTTATTGATTGTTGCTAGTGTGTTTGATCCAACGAAGAAAATGCAATTTGCTAAGCTTTGTTTTGAGCGGCTCTATGGCAAAGATACTGCAGAGTATAAAGTAATGCTTCAGTCAACTCAAGATGTCTTAAAATCTTTGTTTGATGAGTATAGTCTTCGACTAAAGAAGGACCCGATTGTCTCAGCATCTCAGACGACTCAGGCATCATCTTCTAGTGGCCAGGACCAAGATCATGTTTCAAGCAGCGAAACTATAGATTTAGTGAATGATGATCTAGGATATGAGAGGATGGATTTTCTTTACAAGGAAATGGTTACTGAAATAGGTGTTGAGGAGACAAGTAACGAGTTGGATACATATCTGAAAGATGCTGTTGAAAATCCTAAAACTTTACTTGGAACCGAGTATGATGTTTTGTCTTGGTGGAAGGTTAATAATGGCAAGTTCCCAATTTTATCAGAAGTAGCTAGAGATGTTCTTGCAATGCAAGTTTCCTCTGTTGCATCTGAGAGTGCATTTAGCACTAGTGGACGAATCATTGATCATTATAGAAGCTGTTTAACTCACTACATAATTGAGGTGTTGATGTGCACGGAGCAATGGATGAAGTGTGAGATTAAAATGACTGAGACAAGAGTGGCTACAAACGCCATTCTTCTTGCTGATGCCGATTTGCACACAGATCTTGAAAAAGGTGAGTTCTTGTTTTAGTTCAAATCTTTCTTAATAGCTTGTTTTCGGTTTTAAATTTTAACATTCTATCTTTTTAACTATCTTCAGAGTTCTATGGAGGAGTTAACTAGCTTTACAAGAGAAGATGGCCTTAAGGTAATTTGCTATTTCTATACATTTTCTTGCGTTTCTGTTTTATTGAACATGTTAATATTTCTCGATTTAGTGAAGTGTTAGGGACAAGGAACATAGAGACTCAGGGACGTTGAACTTAGAGAATTAGGAATTTAGTAAAGTGTTAATATATTATGTTGATTTGTTGTAACAGGGACTTACGGACATGGAAAAATTGAAGTCTTACACTTTGAGACTTGAGGCACATGTTTCCACTTTGCTTTCAATCTATCTTTTTTGTTTTTTTTTTCTTATGCAATGGGATGTTTCTTTATTACATCAGTTCAAATGATTCATGTATTGAATGTTGATCTTTACATTTTGTTTCTCTTAGTCACAATTTAAAATTCTGAATGTTGATGTTTACATTTTGCTGGTTCAGAGTTCAGACATAGATTTTGAATTTCAGAAGTTTGAGTTTTTCAATTACTTTTGGTTATGTTTGGTTATTTTCGGTTTTTCTCAATTACTAATTTAAATAAAAGTATCTGAACCGAACCAAATCCATTAAACCCGAGAACAAAACAGATCAAAAAATATAGAATCTGAACCGAACCCGATCCGAATTCTGAAAATATCTGATCGGTACTAAATATTAGATTCCCGAAATACCCAAAATCTAAAATACCCGACCCGAACCAAACCGATAACCCGAACGCCCACCCCTAATTCATTCGATATTTACTAAACCATTATTCGTTTGGCCCACTTAAAAAAAAATATACGCATTGTATCGTTTATGTGGGCTTAAACGAACATTTTAAAATGCTCTACTCAGTATCATTTATGTAATTGGATTTGGGCTGAAGCCGAAAACGAGGACTCATAATAATGGACTTGACTTGGGCTGTATTAAGAGAAATCAAAACGGGCCACTTATAGTTTGCTAATAAAAAAAAGAACACTAATTAATAATTTAAAAAACAATGAAACTCCTCTTCTCGAACATTCATCTTTCTCCTCCACACTACAGCTTCCAAAACGTAGATTGGTAATCAATTTGTCTCCCTTTTTTTTCATCTTCATTGCCCACTCTGTTCTTTCAATTCAATGACTTTAATCACCAAACCCCTCATATTTTCTTACTTCACTTTGCCAATTTATGGAGATCCGTTTCAAATATGCCTATATATGATTAACACCCACCACCACACCAACTCTCCATCTCTCGCCCACAAAAGTACTGAAATCAAAAGATGTCACCACCAGCCTCTTCGAAGCCTCTCACCACCAAAACGTTTGATGGCCTTCAAGGAGATTTTTGCAAGGATGAAATTCTGGTCAGGCTCATTCACTTTTGGGAGGCTCGCAATTTCAGACAAGGGAATGCACTGATGGGTGTAGAACTAGTCCTCATTGACACAAATGTAAGTAGAGAATCGTTAATTTCTAATCAAAATTACTTTCTCAACATCTATTTATGGGTTAGCTATTTTTTGGGGTGTGACCTTTATTCTGTTACCTTTACTGAAAATATTGCCATTTTATGTCTGAAATCCTGAGGTTTATTAATTCCAAGTTCTGATCGTTTTCCAGAAACCTCTGTTTTGTAAATGTTGGATTTTGATTCAGTTTGTAAGTATATCCCCGCAGGCAACAAGAATTCAAGGATTCATATCCGCCAATCGGCTATTCCGCTACAAAGACAAACTCAAGCGTAACTCAATTTACAAACTCAGCAAGTTTGTGTCCAACCCTTCCAAGAAACTCTACAGGGTGGCATCGCACAAGTACAGCATCAGCTTCACCGACCAAACACTTTTTGTGGAGGAAAATGCAGAAAACTCTGAAAGACATACCCAGCAGTTTAGGTTACGCCATTTTGAAGATTTGGCCTCAATGGTGGATAAACACACAGACCTCTAGCTACTTATACTACATATCGTTTTCGAAATAGTTTTGTATGTTTATGTTTGCAGACATTGTATTGTTTTATAGTTTTGTATATCCTTTGAAACCCACCTACTCTTTCCATTGTAGATATTGTTGGTCAATTATCCCTCACAACTAGAGATAATTTACACAGCCCAACTTCAATGTCTACAGCTCCTAACGGAGGTGATGGAAAATCTAAGGACATGATATTCTTACATGTCCAACTAGAAGAGTAAGCTCCCATCCACTCACACCATTTAAATATTGAAACCAGAATATCATCCTATTTAAATCATTTCTAAAATCTTTCACTAACCAGCGGAGAAACCGTCCGTATCTACCTTTGGGATAAAATTGCCGAAAACTTCCGTACCAGGTGGAATGAAACTGAGAAGAAGCCAGCAGTTCTCTTGCTGACCACTGTCAATCCAAAGGCAATGGGAGGTGTGTAGGTGTCCTTTCACTTAACCTTCTCTCCTACTCATATAAGTCGGGATTTTAAATTTGGTAAAATGAGGTTCATGTGTCATTGTTACATATCATTCATGTGTCATCTGGAAATCATATGGCTACACTACCTATTAACGGCTTTACTTGATATTGATCTTTTAGTTTGCTGAAAGAACTTAAGTACGCCATGAACCATTGTTTCAGTTTTAGTATATTGGTTAAAAATACTCAAAATTTATGTATATTGAAATAGTTTGTAAATTTGTTTCAGAAACTATCTTGAATGATTCGTTTCATTACTGTTTCTTACTCACATAAACGACATTGTTGGTGAACATATCATTTTTCTACTTGCATGAAATGCTCAACGCCATGAACATCTCTAATATCTTATTCTACAGGTGTTGTGAACCTTAGCTCAACGGCATCCACACGTATTTTTTTTTGACAACGACCTGCCTGAGACTCAGCTCATTCTAACAAGGTACACTTAAACAAACATTACACTACATCATAAACATTTACGCTAATTTTATCATAGTTCGTCGAAGAAGTTTGTATAATATTCATAACCTCCACACAGAAACGCCCCAATGTCTACAAGATATTGTAGGCCGCACATGCAAATTCCAGGTTAAGCTTAAACCATATAATTTTAGTGCTCTTCGCCAGACTATCTAAGTTTCACGTATAATTGAAGAGATAGATGGTTCAAAGCCAAGTAATGAAACCGTAGAAACCGAAGTGCATGAGGACGATACATATGACAACACAAAAGAAGAAAGAAAAGCTTCCACGCCTCAGCAACTAAATTTCCGTTTCGCAAATGATTTTATGTCGACTTCAGTGTTGATTTATCTTCTTTTTTTTATCTTCAATGTTTTCGGTTTTATTTAAAAACTGAATGTCATTTGGTTCAGTCTTAGTTTGCAAGCACAATTGGTTTATCTTTTGAAGAATTATCCATATTATTAATATATTTTGTTTTCCTCCTTAGTTTTACATTTCGATTGAAATATATACAGTGCAATTGTAAACCGGCTTTCTAAACTGAAATCTGGCAACGGTTAGTTTCTTACTGTGGTCCGGTTTGGTTTGATTCAATCTAATATTAATTGTGTTTTATCATGGGTGTAATGATTACAGATTTCTCAAAAAAAATTTGTATTATATTCATATGGTATATCACTTATGAAGATGTGCATAACTTTGCGTTCGCCTTTTTTCCCCTCTTTCACGTTGCATTAATCAAACATGCAACCACCGATTATTATTATCATACCATAAAAAGAATGATTTCTCTGTAAATCCACTCACTCTTAAGGGAAAATAAAACACAAGAATATTTCAAAAATTTTAATTTCAGGACCAATATTATAAAGCTGTCTATATGAGATACACAAGCAGTAAATTTTCACCATACACTAAACATTAAAGGCAGAAAGTATACAACTATGCTCATCACAACCGTCATTCTAAAAATATACAAAAATATTAATTTTTAAATAAAGTATTTACTGTACAATTTTTTCTTTTACCAACTACATTCAACTATATAACTTAATACTCCAAAACAAACACAGGAAAATTTCACCTCCATTCTACTCCTCTAACAAGATTCTTCTTCAACCACTCTACACACATCAACGAAAACTCAATAAAATCATACATTGAAGCCTGGTGAACAAGTTTGGTAAAATACAAAATTAAATAATATCGAAAATAAATTATACCATGAGATAAGAGTGAAATCAATACAACTATTCAATAAAATTAAATTAGTAAATAAATATATAAACTCTTACACATATACTCACAAATTAATACAGCAAAACATCAACACTAACATACCAAATATTATACTTTATATATGTAAACACTATTAAAACTTAAATAAATAAAACAATCAACAAATTGATTGGATTAATATGTTTAAAACTATAAATAAAAAAATTATTAACAATAAACCGCGCGTAACACGGTTAAAATCTTAGTTAATATAAAATAAGTAATACATAAAAATGCACAAGTAGCTGAAAGATAGATTTTTCAGAAAATTAAATAATTACACTTACAAATAACTAAAATACAAACATTTTTAGTTTGAGTTTACACTTTTTATATAATTCTTACGATTTTAAATCTTATTCAATTTATATTAAAAACAAAATTATAATTTACGTAGCGCGGAACAATAGTTGTAATAACATCCGTTGTACCAATAAATTTGATCCTTCTTGAGAAAAAGCCACGTGTAAGCAGGCCTGCGTGTGAGTAATAAACAATATTGACCTTTTGTTTAACGAGTTTGTTGGGGATAGCACATAAAAAGATGGATAATGTAGTAAAATATAAGTGGAGAAAATAGAATATAGTAGTGCCATTATACATTGAGAGAGAAAGAGAGAGAGAGAAACAGAGAGAGAGGTGAATTAGATCCTAGAAGGAATGAGAGGAATGTGGTGCTGAAGATAAGTAGAAGCAGCTGCCACTCCACTTCCCAAAACAATTGGGTACCCAACGTCCTTCAGTATCATCTCCACTCCAGCCAAACACCCAAGAAGTTGCAACTGCGTTTTAATTTGCAATGTTGATTAGAGTTAAATTAATTTATAGTTGGATTACAGATGCAGACAAACGTACCTCATTAAGGTTTCCAAGGTGACCAATTCTGAAAACCTTTCCAGCCACTTTGTTGAGACCTAGACCAAGACTTAGGTTGTACCTCTTCCATGCCCTTTTCACAATCTCCGTACTGTCTATATTGGGAGGCACCACGACCGCTGTAACTGTGTTACTTATCCACTCCTCCTTCTGTGTGCAATTTTTCAGCCCCCATGCTTCTACCGCCAGCCTATACAACATCAAACAAATTCTTGTTAATATTTTTTAGAGACTAAAGAGTGGGTGTACTAAGAGACTTTTCTATTACAATATCTCCCATCGGAAGTAGAGATGATTCAACACAAATATATAACTATTATGAGTCTCTTTACTCACTCTCCCTGTTTATTTTGAATTCAATTCCATAAATATTCAAGATCACAAATTAAAATATTGGCATGAGAAGAAGCCTATAGCTTTAACGGTGACCATAAAAATAACAATAAGAATAAGACCATAAAAATAACAATAAGAATAAATAAGAAAAGGAATGAAAATAAAAATAACAATAAGAATAAATAAGAAAAGGAATGAAAAGAACAAAATAATAGGAATTATTGTTCCTTCTCATTTTTTATAGGAAATATATTAACATTATAGTTCCCTAAAACATAAGGAATGAGAAGGAATCATTGGTACAATATACTCCTTTTAAATGGTGTAATTTTTAAGGAATGATAAGGAATTTATTATTCCTTTCCATTCCTTATGGTCACCAGTTAGAGTCTATATTCCTTATGGTCACCAGTTAGAGCCTATATATTTTTGTTTTGATTATCAGTAAGTTATGGGCCGAAATCAGAGAAGAAACTATATTTCATATAATTATATTCTGATCCACTTAAGTCCATAGAGATTAATAGATTATGTGTCAAAAGCACTCATATTTGTAGTTACAAAGTTAAACTTGATTACCTGGTGGCCTTTCCCAAACGAGCATGACGGGCGATGACATTATCAAGTCCTTCCTCAAAGATAAGATCAAGAGCAGCTCTAAGACCGTATAGGAGTTGTATAGAAGGTGTGTATGGCCAATATGTTCCAAGCTTGTAAAACTTTAGGTAGTCATTCCAGTCAAAGAAGACTTTGAGGGATTTTGAAGTTTTGGTTGCTTCCAAGGCTTTTGGACTTGCGCACACAATACCAAGGCCTGTTGGAAGGGATAAGGCTTTTTGCGAGCCTGTCAAGGCCACGTCCACTCCCCACTCATCCATTCGGAAATCAAGAGCACATATGGACGAGACACCGTCCACAAGCAGCAAAGCCGGGTGCTTGTAGTGATCTGTATGAATATGCGTATGTGTGTAAGTGAAATTAATAACAGAACAACAACAAAAGACAAAGAGATGGTATTGAAGAAATAATAACCGAGGAGGGTTCGGACAGCAGATATGTCATTGGTGACTCCAGTCGCAGTCTCGTTGTGCACAATGCAAATGGCTTTGATGGAATGAGTTTGGTCTTGTGAGAGCTTTGAAGCCAAGACTTGGAGATTAGCACCTTGTCCCCATTCACTCTCAACCACATCAACATTGAAATTAAGCCTCTTCTGCTGGTCAATCCAGAGCAAGCTAAATTGTCCGATCAGAAACGAGACAATTCTATCTCCAGGTGATAGCGTGTTGGTCAAGGCACTTTCCCAAGCACCAGTCCCTGTAGTGGGAAACATAAATGGTGTCCCAGATGTTGTCTTGAATATCTTCTTCACGTCCTCCAACAACGTTTTTGTAAGTGCCGGGATGGCCGGTGACCGGTAATCCTCGTTGTTCCGGTTCATCGCCCGGATCACCTGTTCCGGTATGTTCACAGGTCCTGGTACAAACAGATGGTGTCTCCCTGGTCCATTCATATAGTCCATTTCCCACCTTTTCTTGTTTCTCTCCTTCTCCACACTACAAAAAGATTTACAAAATTTATAAAATACACAGTCGCAAAAATAGGATAGAACTAAAATATGTGAGTATCTGCATGTATGACAAAATATTGCGATATGTATTATTGCTACTATCAGATCTACAAAAGCAATAACACACAGATATAAAATATACATACACCAGTAATACTTCGCCGATGATCTAGTTAAATAGGTGTAAACAGCTTAAGCATGTGTGATCGGTTCAAAGAATTCTGATCATATAAACAAGAAGAGTAACAAGCGGAGATAACGAAGTAGTAACTTCGCAAAATCAGAACGGAGAGAGAAGTTTACCTCTGATAAGGCGGAAGCTCCTGAGGGCCTTTTCTTCTCAGACCTCTTTAATATATCGTTTTTTTATTTGATTTTCCATGTTTGTAAGTATTTTATTTTGTTATTTTGCTTATCCTAATCAACTAGCTTCGCTTATTTGAATCTTCAGACGCGTGGCGGATAAGAGCAAAGCGAAAAATCTTTTCAGTTACGTATGGCTCACAATGCAGTTTATGATACCTTTGCATCTTTGTCCTTCTACTTTTTACTTTTCATATATCTTCCCTATTAGTAATTTTTTTTTATCATAATAATGGGACGGTGAGGTAGGCGAGGGAGTTGACTTTGACAAAGCTAGGGAATAAAACAAAAGGTTTAGAAAATTAGGGAGTGGGATTGTAATAGAAGAAAGTATTGAAAATATGAGGTGGAAAAATGATGAGGAGAGATAAGGAGATAGATGGGAGAGAGCCACACAACTTGTTTTTGCAACCAAGGCCACACGAGTGAAACGCCGAATCCTCGGGACTTCCTCACTACCTCTCGCTCTCTCGTTTTATGTTAGGATTATTGAACTAGATGACGCAAAATACAAACAACTTGCTATGGAATGCAGAATAGACTTTGTTCATTTGGCCACTGTATTTAGATGTTTGAATTTCTTTTCCATACTAAAGAAATTAGTTAAAAAATACGTATCATATTAGTACTAGTCGTTGGAAACAATATCCGTTTAATCAATTGGAACAATATTATAACAAAAATCGTGCCTAAAAGTTTTAAAGGTCCTAAGCAGAATAAAAAATATAGTCCAATGTATTATATAATTTATGATAATAAATAGTGTTGGATTAGCATTAACATTAAATATGAAATTTAAAAAGCTTTTATCATATATGTGTAGGATAAGCTAAATTTGATAGACTTGATGTAATTATAAGAGAATTAAGAGTTAGCTAGTTTTTTTAGGAGTAGAAATAATAAAAAAGTGTTATCACTATAAATATAAATAAAGGTTAATGACGAGTTGTGTTATTAACAAGAACAAAGTTTTGATGTTTAGAATTGAGATAAGTTTCTAAACATTATAAAAGAATCATTCTTATAACACAAAGTGGTCATGAGTTTTAAATTTTTTATTTGGTAGCAGAGCTTAAAGGCAAGCGATCCATTACAAAAAGCTTGATCACGGAGCTGTGGCGAACAAGGAAGAAGGTGTAACCAAGTTATGGGAGATGCTAATCCTCCTGCTTGCCTGAAGAATGTTATTCCTTCTTCAATCCAATGTCCCATGCTAAGCACAACCAATTACACGGTATAGGCCATAAGGATGAAAGTTGTATTGTGAATACACAAGGTTTGGAAAACAGTAGAACCAGGTTCTCTCGCTCTCGACAAGAATGATGTAGCAATTGGATTGTTGTTTCAATCCATCCCGGAGGCACTGATTATGCAAGTTGGCGATCTGGATTCTCCAAAAGCGATACGGGAAGCAATCAAAACTTGAAACCTAGGAGCTGATCGTGTCAAAGAAGCAAGACTTCAAACTCTAGAATCAGAGTTTGAAAGAATGAAGATGAGGGACACAAACAAGATAGATAACTTTGCTGGAAAGTTATCAGAACTGGCATCGAAATCAGCTTCTCTAGAACAAACTATTGAGGAACCTAAGCTAGTCAAGAAGTTTCTTTATAGTTTACCAAAGAACAAGTATATTCATATAATAGCATCGCTCGAACAAATTCTAGACCTGAACAAAACAAGTTTTGAAGATATTATAGGAAGACTGAAGGCGTATGAAGAGAGAATCTTTAATGAGGAGAATCACACAGATGTACAAGACAAGGTGTTGTACGCCCACTCAGAGAGCGCAGCTCAACGTCGTCACGAGGCAGAGGACGTGGAAGAGGTGGAAGAGGAGGACGAGGCAAAGGACGAAACAACTCGCACGATAGGACAACATATCAAAATCGATCAAAAGATACAAAGGATAGATCGAAAGTTATCTGTTATCGTTGCCACAAGCCTGGTCACTTTGCCTCGACATACCCTGAAAGGACACATAAGACTCAAGAGGCAAATAAAGTGGAAACAAAGGAAGTTGATGCAGCCCTTTATATGCATGAAATCATGTTCTTAAACGAAGAAAATGTCATCCCTAAGAACTTCAAATGAACGGAGAAGAAGAGGGAGTATGGTACCTTGATAATGGCGCCAATAATCATATGACGGGCCGCAGGGAATACTTCTCTGAACTCAATAAAAATATAAAAGGCAAGGTCAAGTTCGAAGATGGGTCATGTGTTCAAATAGAAGGGAAAGGTTCAATCCTGTTTCAGAGTGAAACCAATGAGAAGAAACTTGTGTCTGATATCTACTATATATCGGAATTAAAAAGCAACATTATGAGCTTAGGACAAGCTACTGAAGCTGGATGTGATGTCAGGATGAAGCAAGAATATTTGACAGTCTATAATCCAAATGGAAAACTAATGGTACAAGTTAAACGAGCAGTGAACAGACTTCTTAAGATTAGTCTCAAGATAGAAAAACCAATCTGCCTGCATACGAACATAGAAGACTGATAACCTCATAATTTACCATGTTTTAGCATACATTTCGTTTAGGTTTTGGTCTCTTTCATGCATTCATTCATCATATTTTGTCACATTTACATTCATATTAGACATGATAGGTTTTAGGTTAGACATTTGCATGTTTTGCATTGTTTGGAGTCTTTTTCAGGTCTAAATGGAGCAAAAAGACATTTGGAGAATGGTGGATGATGAAGTCAAGAAGAACCGAGCATAATGGCCAAGATGACGGTTTTTAGGCTGCATCAAAGTCCTGTATCGACCAAAGCTGAGAGAAACCTGCCCGATATGCAAGTCGATATGAAATGTATGGGTCCGAACGAATGTCTTATAATGCGATTCAGCCTCCGTGTCTTTCATAGAAGTTGAAGAGGATCGAATAAGATTTCCAACGGAGGTCGAATCAAGTCAATCCGGTCAGTGGTTCAAAAGATACGACGGTTCCAACATGCAACCATAAGCATATCGATCAAGACCTCCTTCCTCCTGCCCGATATGAATTAACCTAAGAACCAACTTTGACCATCTTTGACTCTTTTATTTTTGCTTTCTAAGGTTATTTTGAGGATGTTCCCTATAAATAACTAACCATAGATCCAATCTGACTTATCTTTTCTCTTCCCCAAAGCCGTGCTTTGGTTTTTCAAAGAACAAGAACAAATCCCCTTTGTGGGATGATACTGGATCACTTGTATATTTTTTATTTATGTTATATTCTTTCAATGTTGAGTCTTTAATCTTTTAGTCTTGCTTTTTTATTTGTTTTAGTAATTTCGAAATTGTCTCTTTGGGTTTTTGAGGTTCTTGGTTTTTGAAGAAGAAAAGTGTTTCTAATGATTGCTTAAGGTGTTAGAATGTAAGATCTTTAATTATCTCTTCTTGTGTGACTGTTCTTCATGCTAAGTATCTCTTTGTAGGATAAGTATATCCTAGGCTTTCTAGTATTGCACTTAGGGTGTTTGATGAAATGCTTGAAAGAAGTTATGGTTGTTGTCATGTCTTGCATAGCTTGTGCTTAAGTACTTAACACCACATTGATGGGATATTGTCCTTTAGGCATTGATTATGTATGAGATTGTAAGTTAATGTTAGTTCTGTTGCATAAGAGATTAGTAAACCTAGCATAGGAAACTAGATGTCTATCATGCTTTTTGTCTCTATAGACTTTGACCTTCATGCTTGATGATCATGTGTTTGAGTAAAAGAATTTGTCTTGAATATGTGATTAGATAAGGGATTAGTACTGAGGAATTGGGCTAGTCTATATCAGTAGTCCTTGTCTGGAGATTAATGCATTGATTGTTTCTTTCACCTTGATCATGATTTAGATTCATCCTGTTATTCATTAGTCTTGAATCTCTGTTTTCTAGTTTACATTTATTGCTTTAGGATGTTAGATTTCATTCCCTTCTCATGATTAGGCATAGCTTAGCAAGTTTTCTACATCTTGAATGTTCCTTAGCATCTCGATTGGATTGATAACCTCTTGTACTTCAATGACATGATTTTAGACTTGAGAAATTGAGTCACAAGACCAAACAACTCTGGTATGAATTTGGCGCCGTTGCCACTTCATTGTGTTTAAGGCATTTGAGTTTGATTACTTGCTTAAACTTGGTTACTTTCTTTATGTTTTTTTGTGTGTTTTTGATGATTGGAGAAGGAACATTAGTTCCATTGCGCTCTCATCTTTGAGTTTCACTTGATAAGAGTCAAGCTTAGTGACTATAAACAAGCACACTTGGAAGGTAGTTCCATGTCTATCCCTTGTCCATATTTGCTCATTTTGCTTTTGATTTCTTTTGTTTAGTGTTTCAGGTTTTAAAGATGTCTCATATGTTTCAACAAACTGTTGTAGCGGCCAAACACAGCGACTGAAAGACCAGATCATACGAATATCCTCCATCTTGATTCAGCTGCAGCACGCTTCTGGAAAATTGTAGCCACGTGAGTTAGTTTTCAGGAGGACTTGAATTTAGGTCATTCTGATATGGGGTTTAAAGGATATCGCAATCTTCATGAGACCGCTACAGAGACAAGAGATCATATTAGGATATGTATGGAGCTGGCAAGCCGATACAAGCCCTCAAGAGTTTATACCGACCAACATACCAGGATAAAATCTCGATACACTCCCCTCAGGACACCAATACCGAGCAGTGTACCGGCCAAACCTTGGTCGATACACTCGTCGATACAATCGCCTCCAGGTAAGGCATGTCGGGCATGCCATCCTGGTACAAACAATCCTACAAAATGTATCGACTGAAGATTAGCTCGGACAGACGGTTTCCCTTCAGATTTGTAGCCACGTGCGTCAGCTTGCCGGTGGACTTGGTCTCAAGTCATTCCGAAATGCAGTGGAGGATATATCGAGGTTTCCGTGAAACCACTACATAGACAACATGCCATATAGAGGAGTGTACCGAGCAAGCTACTCGATATGTGGCATACCGACGTACTTATCGGCCTACGCTGGTCGAAACACAAGTAAAAAGACACCATTTCGAAGTACATACCGGGCATGCCAGCTCGATACAACTTGAAGGCAAACATATCAAGCTGCATATCAAACAAGGCTAGCCCGCTACAAATCGTTCTGCTTGATGCCTCGACTGAAAATCAGCTCGGATGAAGTGTTTTCGTTCCGATTTGGCCTCAGAGTTCTTCATCAACATTGTACCAAGTTCAATTAGATTTAGAATGGAGGGGGTTTCGTGTCATTTGGTGCAGTGGACCAAGAGATAATGCTATTTTCGCAAAGGCGTTGCAAGAGCCCAAAAGGTCATATCGAGCTGTATATCGGGGTAGCTTGGTCGATATGCCTACATGGTTTTTCTCAGTCTGGACGAAAATGATGCTATCAAGGGAGTCAAGGCTTTTTTCTTCACCATTCACCATTCCCAGCCATTCTTCGAAACATTTTCACTCCTCCCCAATTACAAGTCCTTGAGGTATACTCCAAAACCTTTGCATTTTTCTTCTTCTCTTCTTCTCTTCATT